AAACCGGTGATGAAATCTAGACTCACGTCTTCCCAGGGAGCTTGTGGGACGGGCAGCGGCATATGCATTCCTTGTGCGGCTTTGGAGTGGCTTTTGGCGAGTTGACAAGTAGTACAACGCCGAATGAAATGTTCGGTGTCTCTTTCCATCTTTGGCCAGTAATAATGCTCTTGAAGCATCATATAAGTTTTATCCATCCCGAAATGACCAGCTAAAGAACCGCCATGAATTTCTTCGATTATTGTTTCGCGCAAACTACATTTAGGGATACATAGTTGGTTGCCACGAAACAGAAAACCGTTTTTAATGAGGAAGTTACCAGAGGGCCGTGTGAGACAGTTATGGTATGCCTCCTTGAAATCTTCATCATCTTTGTACAATCCCTGCAACATTTCAAAGCCAACAAGTTTGGTACTAAGTACCGTTAGTAATAAATGTCGCCGGGATAAGGCGTCAGCGCCTTTGTTCAGGGTTCCGCTCTTGTGTTTTATGGAGAAGGTGAATGTTTGGATGAATTCGACCCATTTGGCATGACGGGGTCGGAGTTTATGTTGCCCTTGGATGTACTTCAGCGCTTCATGATCAGAATGGAGTATAAACTCCTTGCTAATCAAATAATGCCTCCAATGCTCAAGAGATCGTACAAGAGCGTAAAACTCTTTGTCATAAGTTGAATATCTCCTTCGGGTGTCGTTCAACTTCTCACTAAAATAAGACACAGGGTGGCCTTCTTGGGATAATACTGCTCCTATGCCAACGTCGGAAGCGTCGCATTCAACTTCGAACAATTTATCAAAACTAGGCAAAGCTAACACCGGTGCATGTGTTAGTTTAAGTTTGATAGTATCGAAGGCCTGTTGTGCAGTTGGATTCCACTCAAACTTTTGATGTTTGGTTAAATCCGTGAGAGGAGCTGTGATAGTACTGAAATCCTTGACAAATCTCCTATTGAAAGAAGCAAGGCCATGAAAACTCCTGACCTATTGCATAGTGGTTGGTATGGGCCAATCTCGTATGGCCTGCGTTTTTCTCTCATCAACTTTGATCCCTTCATTTGAGATAAAATATCCCAAAAATTTAGTTTCTTGAGAGAAGAATTGGCTTTTCTCCAGGTTGCCATACAATTGTTCTTCATCAAGCTTCTTAATCACCAAAGTGAGGTGATTGATATGTTCTTCTTCATTCTTGCTATAAATCAAGATGTCGTTAAAATAGACAACGACAAAATGACCTATAAATGGCTTCAGGACCTGGTTCATCAATCTCATGAACGTGCTCGGGGCGTTAGTTAAACCAAAAGGCATAACCAACCACTCGTAAAGACCAAACTTAGTTTTGAAAGCAGTTTTCCATTCATCTCCTTCAAAAATTCTGATTTGATGATAGCCACTTCTAAGATCAATTTTTGAGAAGACCTTAGAACCGTGTAGCTCGTCCAGCATATCTTCAAGTCTAGGTATGGGATACCTATACTTTATGGTAATTTTGTTGATGGCACGGCTATCACAACACATCCTCCATGTACCATTCTTCTTTGGTACTAAACAAGGCCGGGACAGCACAAGGACTTAGGCTCTCCCTAATGAATCCCTTTTCTAGCAACTCATCCACTTGACGCTGGATTTCTTTTGTCTCTTCAGGATTCATTCTATATGCCGGTTTGTTGGGTAAAGCAGCTCCGGGAATAAGGTCTATCTTGTGTTGGATGTCTCTTTTGGGAGGAAGACCGTGTGGTACGTCTTTAGGAAATACATGGGCATATTTTTCAAGGATTGGCTGGGCTAGAGGGTGGGGCTGTTTTGGAACAATATTGGGTTCAGTTTCTTCAAGATCAAGGAGGATGAGGTTTTTAAATTCATTGAACTCATGGTGTTCAGATTGGAGTATGGTGGAAATGAGAGTAGGATGATTTTCTTGGCTGTTTTAGACAGTGGAAGAGGAGGAGGGAAGTAAGGGTGTGAGGGTGATCTTCTTCTTATTCATTAGAAATGAATAAGTGTTTAGATAACCATCGTGCTGCACTTTGTTATCAAACAACCAAGGACGTCCCAAAAGGACATGGCATGCATCCATGGGTATGATATCACACCAAATATCATCCTTGTAGGTTTTGCCAATGCTCAAGGATATTAAACAGCGTGTATCAACTCGTAAACCTTTACCTTGATTCAACCATGTAATCGTGTAAGGTTTAGGATGAGGAAACAAGCTTAAGTTAAGCTTTTCCACCATGGTCTTGGCAGCAACATTAGAACAACTCCCACTATCAATGATTAGGGAGCATACCTTATTTTGGATTGTACAACGAGTGTGAAATATGTTCTCTCGTTGTAGTTGTTCTTCGGGGCAGGGAATGGCACTTAAGGTCCTTCAGATGACCAAAAGTTCGCCGTCATCTGGGCCAACACATCCTTCTTCTTCTTCGGATTTCTCCTCTTCAACCAAAGAGTGGTCAAAGTCTTCATCATCATATTCAACAAGGGCCATCACCTTTTTGTTCGGGCACTCATTGGCATAGTGACCGGTACGCTGACAACGGTAACAAATGGGAGCTCTTTTGTTGGTTGAGGGGGATGTTTTAGGTGTAAAGGGGGTGGAAGATGATTTGGAAGGAGGTGTGGTTTTGGAATTTTGGGGCGGACCCTGGGTAGTAGAGGTGGATTTTGGTGGAATGTAAGTTGGTTTTGAGTAAGAGGAAGTGGTTCGGGAGAAAATGGCTTTGGATTTCCTGATTTGAGATTCCACTTTAAGAGCTAATTTAGTGAGCTCTTCAAAAGTGTTGAAACCTTGTAATTCAACCGTGTTGGCTATTTGAGTATTTAAGCCAAAAAGATACCTTACGAAGGTTTGTTCTTCATTCTCCTGCAGATTGCACCTTAGCAAGAGTTCTTCAAATTCTCTGGTGTAATCCTCAACAGATTTTGAACCTT